CATCTTACCCCATATACTTATTATTAAAAAATCACAAGCAAAAATTCCCATATATTCTAATGAAATGCCAAATTTGAAAAAAAAAAAAAAAGAAAAAAAAAATTTCAACACTATAATTAAGTGTGATAATGGAAATCAACCTACCATCTTGCATTTTTTTTTTTTTTTTTAGTTACAAAAAAAAAAATGCATGCATCCCAAAAGGAAAAAAAAGAAAAAAGATATGAAAATTGTATGAGAATATATTTATTTATTTATTTATTTTTTTTGGATATCTGATCGTGTTATTGGCCTTCGGATTTTTACCTTTTTTTGTCCATGAATTTTAATGAATTCGTTTAAGAAAAATCTTAAGTTAAATTTATGGCAAAAATTGTCCTTTGCGTTGCTTCCATTGTATTTTTTCCATTGTTTTTTTTTTTTTTACTCACCCCTTTATCAACCACATACATGTACATGTAACTTAAAATTCGAGACAACAATATGACTTTTAATGGTTAGTGAATTTATCATTAAAGTTCATAATGGTGTATATTATGTGCTACTTCTGATTGCCATATTATATAAATACAATATGATAAAAAAAGCACGGACAACATTGTATAGCTTGCAGATCTTGGGAACAAAAAAAAAAATCTTCAAGGAAAAAAAGGAAAAAAAAACTGGCTATCGAATCAAGTATCGCTCATCTGCCTTTATCGAATGCACAAGAAAAAAGATTAGTTGATCAATTCATTTCTAAAGGAAAAAGAAAAAAAAAAAGGTGAAAGGTTCACGCAAAGTCGTTTGGCTTAATTGCGGGGACATTGGGGGGCATAAAGCCGTGAATGGATGTAAAAAAGGTAATCGAATACGAGCATTCTGGACAGGTGTATGCACGTGTCCAAGTAATTTTTAATTAGCAGGGGACTTTTTTTTTTTTTTTTTTTGTAATTATTCGCGCAAAAGCCATTTCTTCAAGCAGAAATCAATGCACGCACACATTACGTAGATCACAATTAATTAATCTGATTACGCGTATGGGGTTTTTACCCCCATGATCTTTTTTTTTTTTTTTTTTTTTTTTTTTTTTGATAACACGCATTTATCCAATGTTTGCGAAATGCTTTATTTTCCAACCTTTTTTGAGGCAAATTTTTATCATGAATTTGCGAACTTTTTCATCGCGATTTACCATAAAAGGAAACTATGATTGGTCCGTGTTTTTTCATCATGGAACAAAAAAAATTGAATCTCGAAAACATGACGTCTAAACCAAAAACACGATCAATTAGTACAACAACGGTAAAATATTAAATATATTTGCCAAATATTTGTCGTTGCACAATTTGTGATACAAGACCAGGTAAGTGTCGATAGAAGGGAGACAATGGAATTCTGTTAAAACAATAATGTCAAATGCAAGGCGCGAAAAAAAAAAAAACTTTGGCGTCAACCTAAAAAGACGCGCGACGGCGTTTTTAATTATTGATAGTTCAAATGCTTATTTGTTTGTTAAAGAACCGAATAATATTGACATCATAAGGTGAATTAAGGTTTAGGTTTATTTTGTCTAATGGAGAAATGTTTCAAAGCGAGCTTTGTTCTCGACAATTCTCATGAGCTCTTGTGAACAAAATTTGTCCAAGGTACATGACAAGATTGGCTTTCTGAAAAGATCACAAAATTCCTTAAACATAAACCACAACTTTTCTAAAAAGACTAAATATTTCAATATTCTCGTTAATCTGTTTGGAATACAACATGAAGCATACATATCATCAATACTGTACAGTTAAAAAGGAAAAAAAAAAAAACCCCCCAAATAACAATAAACCCCCTTAAAAGATTATTTAGCAACTAAAAAAAAAAAATATACATGCAGCTTTTTTTTCGGCCTTGACTCTTTAGTATCATTCACATTATCTATAATCTTCAAGATGAAAAAAAAAACTATTGTTGATAAAAGTTTACCTAATAATAAGCAAGCCACACTTTTTTCTTTTTTTTCCTTTCACCAACTTCTGATAGGGGGGGATATGAACAAAGATAATAAAGATAATGCAAACCAACAAAAAAAAAAAAGGCATCATCTAAAGTTTGACATGACTTTGAAAGAAATCAGGATTTAAACAAGTTTTTGATTAATATAGATGTAATGTTTTGGTGTCATGTGCACTAATGTTGTGCATTTCTTTATTCTTTTTTTTTTAAGTGTCCCATTATTCTAAATAATATTATTTATTTGTGTTATATTTTAAATCAAAATACTGCGGTTTTGGCTTTTTCAGAAAAAATATCACTCATTTGACAGAAATTTGACACATCTTCGTAAAAACCTTTGAGCCTAAATAAGGACAGAATGCATTTGAACAAGATTGGTAAGAGGTCACGATGAAGGTAGAAAATGATTGTGTCTGATAATCAAACATTGCGTGGACAACAATAAAGTTTTTGTCGTCATATTTGCGAGCCAAGCAAAAAACAAACCTTCCCCTAAATGACCCGCAGTAAAAGAAAAGTTCGCCTAATACTCTCGAACCGTAATAAAAAGTAATGCAAACAAAATAATCATTTTTATGTAGATCTTTTTAATGAGATAAGATTTATTTTAGATAGGTATATATATAAAACTGTTTGATACTGTTAATCAATTCAATCAATTAAATTACATAAAACATTTCCTTTTTGTAAAGATAAATATAATTTTGTTTATTGTTTAACAATGTTATTTGTTCAATCGTAAAATTTTTTTTTTAATCTTGATGAAAATCAACAAGTTTTTTTTTTCTTTTGTTTCGAAAAAAAAAAAGCGACATTCTTTTTCTATTGGAGGGAGTTGATATGCATGACATATGAATTGATTTTAGAAAAACTTGTTCATTTTCATGATAATTAATTGTACTTGATGATTACAATAATTACAATAGGACAATAAAAAAACCTAATTCAGATAATATAATTCAAAAATGATTATTTCTTGATGAGCTTACCATACATTTGGCATTATTTATTTATATTCTTTTGAAGTAAAGTTATTAATGTGGAGAAGAGAGAAAAATTTTTCTTTTTTAGATTGGCATTGGGCAATGGATGATCAATAAACTATGGAAAGTAGCTTTGATCACATTAGATCACAACTGATCATATCTCGCACATCAAATAACGTTTTGCATAATGGCGTATTTTTTTTTTTTTTTTTTTTTACGATATATATATATATTTTAATTTACCCTTTGGAAAAAAGGTTATGCTCAGGGATTTACCAGAAATGTTTACCGCCCACCATTTACCATGTTATTAAATCTTTTACAATGTTATTATTATGCTAGGGTGACACGACAATATCGATCGAATAGGAGGACGAAATTAAAAAAAAAAAAAGAGTAACTTTGGGAGAAATTAACAAAGTAAATCGGTACAAGGTTACACATTCAATGCTAAGTGATAAGTAAAGGAAGTGATAGTCAAATTAAATTAGGAGATAAAAATTATGGAGAAATAAACAAGATGTAGGGACTCGTGAAATAACTGTTGAAAGGAAAGAAGAGCGAAACAAAAATTCTTTATAAAGTAAATTGGCGACAGAAGAGAAATATAACAATTTTTATGTAAGATGATTATCAAACAGTGAATATAATTAAATTTAGAAGTAATCCCCGAACAACTTAAAACTTAACACCTTTTACAATAATTGACGCAATAAAGCGGCAAAGACAATCCCCTTTAATGATCCCGGGTAACTCGCACAACGTAATATCTTAATTTAAGCTAAACTACTTTTTCCCTACTCATTCATCTCATTCAGGGTCATTTGTAATTCACATACGATCCATTTTTGGCGCATTGTGTGGGGAAGGTATCAAATAATTTGTGATGTGATTATTGAAGGTAGAAGAACACTTCCCGTTTATGGCGTTGACATATATTTGACATTAAAATCAAGTTCACATATTGAATGAATACATTCAATACATTATTATAAAAAAGAATTATAAAAAAAAAAAAAAAAAAAAGATGAGATTGTAAATCTGAAGTTAGGTTTCCTTAATTTTGGCCAAATTTAATCATCATAATTTTGGCTGAATTATTGAAATATCACACATTTTGGATTTTTTTTTGTCACCAGTATAAGTTTAAACCCTCTAATCGTCGCAAAATCAAGAACGAATATTTATTTGAGACATATATTTACAATACAAAAGATTATAAATATATACACACCCATACATATATATATACATTTAAATTATTTTATTTATATACCTTATATAATTTATTTATTTTATGTGCATAATATAAAATATAAAAGTGAGAATTTCTTACTATAAACATTTTTTTTATTTATTAATGCAATTGGCTAATACAAAAAAAGATGTTTTTTTTTTTAATGTAATACAGATTTTTTTTTATATTGTTAATTTACAATATATAAAAAAATTTTTTGTCTATAAAAAGTATGAAAAAATCGGCAATTTTTTTGATTTTAGTTTTCGAAACAATTACAACAAAATTTGAAGGTACTTCCTACCGCTTCTGTTTTCCCCATCAAACAACGAACACGAATTAAGACATTTTTTTCATCCGGTTTTTTGTCTTGTGTGTTCAATTTTGGAAACGAAGAATTACATACTCTCCCCTAGTTCTTCTCTTTTCTTCCTTTTACCATCACCCCACGAATAACCTTCAAAAAAAGTGTTTCTAAACGTTTTTCACGAAATCCAGAAGCAAATTTCCCACTCATTAATCTAATAATGGCTTACAACACAAAAGACAAGGTAATTTATCCCCCTTTTTTTTTTACCATTTTTCTCAATTTTAACAGCGTACCCCAGTAGCATATGATTGTTGATCTTGAAATTTAATTTTTTTTTTTTTTTAAACTTTATTAGCTACGCACCTTCTCCCCAATCATTTTATTCCATGAGCCTAAGTCAATCGACCAATGTATGGTCATCGGAAAAGATAACGAGCATCAGAAAAACTTCATCCTCTCCCACAAAAAAAAGGTTGAGGAAATGATGTCAATAAACAGCCGTTTCTGGCTAACGGTTTCCGAGAAATCACGAGGTAGGTTATTTAAAACAATTTATTTTAAAAATTTCTCTTTTTTTTTTTTTTTTCTTTTCCTAAAAATAAACGTAATATTTTTAAGAATACGAAGAAAGGCTCATATTTGGTCGTGACCAAATGATCGATCATAGATCAACACTGGCAACTCCAAATCTTGCCAATTCCATTTACACGCACCAGGATCCGCTTGAACCCACCCCCAAGCCAAAGCGGCGCCGGGGTAACCTCCCAAAAGCCACGACAGCCCTTCTCAAAGACTGGCTCGCGCAACATCGCAAGCACCCCTACCCGACCGAAGAGGAGAAGGTCGGATTGAGCCGACAAACACGATTGAGCCTACAACAGATATCGAATTGGTTCATTAATGCTCGCAGGCGTCATTTGCCCCATTTATTGGAGGCAAATGACTTCACCTCACAAAATAATGAGTTGGACATATTCCCCTACGAAGCTTCAGGGAATTCCACAGGTAATTTATCAGATCAATAATTAAGGGATTTCCTTTTTTTTTTTTTTTTAATAATCCCCTTTATTAAATTATTTCATTTATTTAAATTAAAAGACAGTGCATCGGATAATGGCAAGCAACATATGCGACGCCACACCTGTACGAGGATTCAAAAAACCGGCGGTGTAAGGAAGTCATACTTGCGAGGTAGAAGAAAACCATCGCTATAAAAAAAAAAAATCACTCTCCCAAAACACCTCCCCTCCCATTAAAGACTTTTTTTTTTTTATTTATTTTATATTTTTTTCATCGTAAAAATCAATCGATTGAACGCACATTGAATCCAACAACCATCGTATATGTATACTGGGTGAAAATCAAAAAAATATATGGGGCTAAATTATAAATTTAGATTTAAAACATTTTTTTTTTACCAACGGGGTTTTAATTTTTAAGACGCGTCCTTTTTCTCTCGAACAAAAGAAAAAAAAAAAACATTTTTTTTTTTTTTTTTCGACAAATAAGTTTTTTTTTTTAGAAAAAAAAATTTTTATGATCAAAAAAGAATGAAATCTTAAGTTTTTCGTAATTTCGTTATTTACCGTTCGACGAGTAATTATGTATATTAAGTATATATATATATATTTATTTATTTTATTTATTTTATTTATTCTCTTTATTCTCTTTTTTTTCTCTTTTTTTTTTTGAGATTTCTTCTATCACCTTTTATGTAGACAATGTTTGTTGGTAAAAAAAAAAAAAAAAAAAAAGAAAACAATTTTAAAGAAAAAAAAAAAAAAAAATAAGAAAATTATAAAATTAACAAAAAAAAAAACAAAAACAACTAGTTGAAAAAAAACAAAAAAAAAAAAAATTAAGAACATGCCCCCCCAAAAAACGAAAATTCTATCGAAAAATAAACAAATTTTTTTTTTTTTTTTTTCCGAATTTTCACCTTAATAATGTAACTATTGTATATAAAAAAAAGAAAACAAATCCGCGTGTGTGTGCGTTATTATGGTTATATATTATTGTTATTTATCTTTTTTTTTTTCTCCACATTATTATATATATATATACATATCCTATATATAAATCATGAAAATTTAATTTATATTTTACATATTATTGTTCTGTATTTTCTTAAATATAAAAATTAATTATAATAAAAAAATTATTAAGGTTAATTCATATATATTATTATTTTCGGGTGTATTAGGGGATTTTTTTTTTTCCTTTGCTGTAAAAGTATCATAAATATTTGGATTGTTTTTTGGCGAATGACGATAAAGATACACGCGATTAGTGAGTTTAGCATGCATGCGAAAGTATTGGAAGTTTTTTTTTGGCAATAAAGATTGACCGAGTGAACTTTACGTGCTTTCCATTCATAGATTCGCAAAAGTACGAGAGATTGTATTACATGATGTCTTTTGCGCACGGACCAGGTCGGGTTTAAAGGATTTACATTAAACGATCTGAAAATAAAATAAATTTACATCACTAGTAAGAATTTGGAAGTTCATATACGATTATGGTATTAATTTAAAAATGAGCTAGATAAGGATTTTTTTGTTTTTGTTTTTGACGTGTGGGAAACACACTTATGTCCATATTTCCATATACTCCCCATAAGAGAGAACAAAAGGTGTTTTGTGTGTTCATTCATAAAAATTTCGACATCTCGAAAGAGAGCGACAATTTAACGCTCTATTTATAATCAAATCGAACCTTTTTTTTTTTTGAATTCTTTTTGTTAGATGAATCGCTCATATGTATTATCCGTGTTTTACATTGAATTTAAAAGTTTAGCGCGTTTTTTTTTTTTTTTTTTTTTTTTTTTTTTCTGTTGGTTAAAACAATACATTGTTGTATTTATTTATTTATTATTAATGTAATAACGAGATGCAAAAAAAAAGTTTTTTTTCCAAAAAAAAAAAAAAAACGCCAAAAACATGTGAAATATATAAAAATGCTTATCTTACTTTGGTAATACCCATGAGTTTGAAATTTCGGAATAAAATTTAGATGAAAATAGGTTCAAATTACACATAGATAGGAGCTTTCCTTTCTAGAAAAACCCCATATTTAAAAAATCGACAAACTATTATAGGTTATCCTAAAATCATCAACCCGTAAAATTTTCTTATAGTGAGATTATTTTTTTGATTTACTGTAAAAGGAGGGGTAGATTAAATATAACTTTAAAGTTTTCTGTTGCCTTTTGAACTTTTTCTATCATTTAATCTATCTATAAACATAAACGGTTATTATTATTTCTTTAAGGTTATTCTCAAAAAAAAGATAAAATGAGAATTCATTTTACGCCAATGATTAATTCTTTTGAGATTGGGCGTTGTACTTTACCATGATGAAATGATTTGCTATCAATATCAGTTCATTTTCTCGATTTTTTTTTTTTTTTTTTTTTTCATGTCAAATTACTAAGATTATTTATCATTGTTGAAGTGAAAAAAATAAAATATTATAAAACTGTTTTAATCCAAGCCCGTTATTGTTGTTTGCAACTTTGCAGATCGGTACCAAATCAAATGCCTGCCCTTTACGAACCTTGATCTAATTCGGTTCTTGAAATTTTTTTCTCCGCAAACGGAAAAAGCAAATGACATTAAAATAATCGTAACTTTCAGATGCGGCCTTACAAAATCGGAAAGTTTCATTAAACAATGAGCTCTGCATTTTTTTTTATATCAAAAATGCGCTTTTCAATGATTTTTAAAAAAATAGAAGTCCTCGATATATTCTAGAAAGGTTGATCGCTTCCGCATTGTGAAAAGATCAGCAAAAATGACAATGGAAGAGAAACGTGTAATCTTATTTCCGGCCGAAATCAAACACAAAAATTTCCGAGGTTTTAATACCAGTTAAGTAATGATTGTTTCATCGTTTTTCAATTGTTTTGTACATCACTATGTTAAATTCGAATAAAAAACAATCCACCTATATATATCGCGAGTAAAGTTTTATTTACACATGTGGGCTCGATTTTCGACCAACATTAACGAATTTTAATTTGAATTCTGTTTATTTTTATTTTTATTTTAATATAATCATATAAATGCAAAATTGATATATGTCAGAAGGTGATAACGGTAGATTCTAAATTAAGTTGTATGTCGCATTGTAAATCTAAAAATTGCGCCCACGCTCCATTATATGTAGGAATAATAAACTTTTCTTTTCTCAGGTCCACGTTCAATACGCGCAACAGGAGCTGGTAATTGAACTGATCTAGTTCGTCTGGTTGAATTCTTCGGTCTCTGAACTGTCTCAGTTCGTGATATTGCTGAGAAAGTGTGTGAGTTAATGGGCGAATTCGGAATTGATCTAATTGAGCTAATCCGCGGCGATGTTGAGTTGTAGTGTAAAGATGGTCTCTGAGCAATCGCCCGTGGCATCGATACTTGGGTCGAACTGTACGAGTTAGAGGATGTAATCGAGTCGGTTCGTGCTGTCTCAGCTCGTGATATTGCTGAATTAGTGTGTGAGTTAATGGGCGAATTCGGTATTGTTCTAACTGAGTTAACCCGCGACATTGCTGAGTTGTAGTGTAAAGTTGGTCTCTGAACCATCGGTCGTGGCATCGATACTTGAGTTGAACTGTACGAATTCGAGGATGTAATCGAGCCTGATCGTGCTGTCTCAGTTCGTGATATTGCAGAGTTAGTGTGTGAGTGAATGGGCGAAATCGGCATTGTTTGAATTGAGCTAATCCGTGGCGATGTTGCGTCGTTCGAGCGTAAAGATGATCTCTGAGCAATCGTTCGTGGCATCGATACTTGGGTCGAGCTATACGAGTTAGAGGATGTAATCGAGTCTGTTCGAGTTGTCTCAGTTCGTGATATTGCTGAATTAGTGTGTGAGTGAATGGGTGAAATCGGCATTGTTTGAATTGGGCTAATCCGCGGCGATGTTGCGTTGGAGTCAGTTCGTGCTATCCTTGCTTGTGGTATTTCTGAGTTTATGTGTGAGTTGGTGGATGAAATCGGTATTGTTCTAATTGAGTTAATCCGCAGCATTGTTGAGTTGGAGTGTAAAGATGATCTCTGAGCCTTCGTTTGTGCCATCGATACTTGAGTCGATTGAATTGTTTCAATTGAGTTGTCTGGTGGTATAGATTTGTTTGTACCATATTCTTCGTGACGTTCATGATTTTCATGATACTCGTCAATAAATTTTTCGGTTTTATCATTCGCACCATCACTATCAAAGTCATTAAAAAATTCCTCAGAAATCTCTCGACCTTTATCATTGTAATTATCAGGTGAAGGGTTACTCTCAACCGAGTCCGTCGAATTACTCGAATCACTTGAATCACTCGAATAGATATCATAAAAAGTGCAACTTTTGTTCATTCCATGACGTTGAGTGATCCTCCTCAGCACCAGAGCTCCAAACAGTATTATAAGTATATTAAATGTTAATAAACCTGCGGCTAACAATGGGCCATAGAATTTAGTTATGAAACGCCCTCCGGATGCATCTATTTCATTTTCACGTTTCTCGATTGCATATGCCAACCCTATTTTATATATATATATATATATTGTTTTAGAACGAAAATTATATTTAATTTAAAGGGAGAAAGGCAAAATAATAATAATAATAATCTTTTTACACACGACAGTGATTTTTATTTACCATTTGACATGAAGAATGTTAACATTAACATCAAATGAATTAGTAAAGACATTGGAAAGAGAAGAGAAATTCAATAGAAACTTTTTTTTTTTTTATGGGCAAAGGTTAACATCATCAACTTTTAAGTCGTTAACATTTTGTTAGTAGTTCACCTATTTTAACTTTTCTTTTCCCCGTGAAAAAAAAAAAAAAAAGATCGGGTTAACTTAATTCATTTATTATTTGTTTGTTTGTTTGTTTGTTTGATCGACAGGATAAAAAAAAAAAAACTAACGGAGAAACGTTGTTTTAAATTAGGTACAAAGTAATTTCTTTCTTTCTTTTTCTTTCTTTTTTTTTTTGCTTATTTCTCTTGGAAACTCTACAATCAGTTTCTGAATGATTTAGGAAAATCCGTAAAAAAATTGAGAAATATTATTCCGATATCAATTTTTCGGGGTTGCGATTCGAATAAACAAAAAAAACTAAAACGGTGATAAAATTGTGGACTCATTGGTAAGGAAAACTTTATTATCATCCTATTTTTGATAGTCAATAAACTCCAGCTAATGAGTCTTGGTATTGAATAAAGGAGATAGTGTAGGAGTGAATAAAAGCATTTACAAAATTTCATTCACTTACAATAATCTAATCTCCATAGAGTACTAAGGAACTAATTAAATCTTTAGTTAATGCCCTATTAAATAAATTTGTCAACTTATGGGATAATCAAAATTGTTTGACACGATTTGCTGTGCAGTCATGTTTCTGCGATTACTGAATCATCAAAATAATTTCTCCTTTTGGGAAATAATAATTATAAAAACTATTAATTGACAATATGTTTTAACCTTTTTTTTTTACATAACATAAAGGGTGGTATGTGTTACATTGAAAAAAATTTTTTGCATTCTTATTTAGGTGATTCGTGTAACTTCTGTCCGGACCATAAAAGACCATAAATAAAAAAAAAAATTTTAAATATAATGGAAACGATCACCCTCGAAGAATTTAAAAAAAAACAATTATAAAAGGCTGAGATAGAAGGAGAGGCTGAAGAAGTTCAAGGAGTGAGCTGGAGGAGTGAATGGTCTAGTGATAGAAAAGAGGTAAAAGAAAAGAAAAAAGGCTGGAAAAGAAGGAGGGAAGACTGGAGGAAGCAATTAATAAATAAATTGACAAAATAAGTTTGCAGAATTTAATGAAAAAGGTAACAAACAAATTGTGTAAAAAAAAAAAAATTATACAAACAAAATTATTTTCATTCCGTTTCATTATCTTTTATTCACTTCGTTATTTATAAATAAACTTTTAGAAAAAAAAATGAAAAAAAAAATGAAGAAATTGATATTGAATGGAATGTTCAAGCTTCCAAGCCTACGAAACACATTCAATCCGATCATGTAGTTCATAAATTTTTTTTTTCATTAATTTTTTGTGGTATCTTCCATTTTCACTTGAAGGTGCCAGCAGAAAAAAAGTCGCATTTGGGAAGATGATCCTAAAAGAATATATTTTATTAAAAATTCAAAAAGCAACTCTATTTTATTTTAAAAATATCTTTATTTTTCCAAAAATATTACATTTGAAAAATATAAAATTACCATCACATTTGATAACGTCAAAAGATGCTTTTTATTAAATTATCCTGGCTGGACACAAAGGTAATGAATGGAAGAAAGTGGTAATCCTATCTGATGAATTTGATTCAACACTGTTAAGCGTTCTTGATATTTTAAAGAAAGCTTGGTAATTCGTCAAGGATCTGCGTCAATAAAATTTTGTACCATTGAGTGATGGATCGGCAATTAACAATATACGAAATTTATGTTCTCCGCCTAATAAGGTCCTCGAAATTTTCATCATACATTCATAACTTAATTGCGTAATGTCTAAGCCCGGGCTTCGCTTTATTTTTTTCTGGTTCTGTGTTACACATAAAAGCCAAGTTAGTCAAATTCGGTCAATCGTACGACTGAAAAATTACGTAACTTTAATTCACCTATTTTAATAAATAGCCTGAGAATTCGTTCGGAGAATCAAAACCTAATGAGTAATAATAAAACCGTATTATTCATTTTTTCTAAAACATTTTAGAAAACTTAAAATATTTTGATATCTAATGATTATAGAAAGATAGATTACTTTTTTTACTATGCTTATTAATTTTTTTCCGTGTTGCGTCACAACAACCTACCAATAGTTTATAATCACATGTGGGGCTTCGTCAATAGAAACACTGTGTTTCTAGTGACGAAGCCCCATGTAATTCAGAAAGGTATATAAAGTACAGTGGCGATCATAAATTATGCAACAAAAAAAAAAATTTCATTAAAACGAAATATTTTTTGTAATTACGGAAATA